TGGGGCCAGGCTGCCCCCCAAAACCCACCGGAAGATGGCTCGTGAGTAGTCACAGTCCTGGGGTTCAGGAAGCTAGAGTGGGGATTTCTTTGGGCTTCCTTGTCCTTGGGCCAGGTGGGTTGGCAGTCAGGGAGCACTGGGCCTGGCCATCGGCGGGAACCCCGTTCCATCTTGACATGCCTGTCCCGGGAAAGGTTCTCTAGCCTCATCTCCTGACAAAGGCTGAGAGCATGGGTGAAGTTACCCTCCCCCCTTTAGGGAGTTGACCATTACCTCCTTGCTCATATCTCATGGCTACATATCCTGGCACCCCAAATGCCTGTGGCTGCTTTTGCTTTTTGATATGTGATGCCCTGCTTTGGGCTTGAAGTCTCTAAAAGGAGTGCCTGGGCTGGGGCTGGGGCTGGTCCTACACCAAGCAGAGACGGAGACCTGGATCCCCAGAACAGTTTGTCCGGAGAGGAGCGCTCCACACCTAAGGGCTGGAGGCTCTTCTGCCTTTGTCCCAGTTATTCCTGGGTCTTTGAGAAATGCCCTTGAGGTTCACCGGGACCACTTTCCCCTTAGGGAAGGAGTGCGACCTCAACAGGCAGTGTGGGGTCATAAATCCAGAGACCAAAAAGATCTGTACTCGCCTGCTGACCTGCAAGGTAACTCCCATTCCCAGTGCGTGGTGAGGGAGGGCAGCACAGACATGGCACGGGGAGAGGAGAGGAATTTACGGGTACTAAAGACCCACCTGAAGGGATGGGGCTAGGCTCACTCCAGGGATGGGGAGAGGAAGAAAACCCCCAGTGGGCACAAGGTGGGAGCAGCAAGCTGGGAGTGGCTTCTAGGTTCACCCACCCCAAAGAAGGGTTCATGTCATGGAGGAACACACACACTCACCCCCCGACCCCTACTTCCCAGGGCAGAGCACACTACTGCCCCTCACCTGTGCTCAGCTCACCCCCCTCCCCATCCCTCCGCCCTGCTCTATTCTAGATCCACTCGGTGCATCAGCGCAGGGAGGTCCAGGGCCGGGCCAAGGACTTTGATGTGCTAGTGGCAGAGCTGAAGGCCAACTCCCGCAAAGGGGAGTCTCCCAAGGAGAAGAGCCCAGGACGCAGAGAGCCAGCTCTCGAACGCCCCTCCCAGGAGCTTCCCTCCTCAGTCCAGGCTGTGGCAGCAACAGCTACTCCCAGCAGCACCTTCTCTGCTCGATCCAAGCAGACCTACCCATACTGTGCACTGCCCAGGTATGTAGAAGATCCAGCCCCCACTTTAAGTGGGGTACTCAGGTCTTAAGGCAACAGGGACACCTTGGAGACAGGCCCAGGGAGCGTTCTAGAAGATGTGCTCACGCAGCCCTGACTGTGGGGGGATACCTGGGCCCTGGCAGTGGTGTAGAAGCAGGTGGCTCCCATGTTCCTGCCCACACAAATCCCAGTGCCCCCGCCTCTCTGGCGTGCCAGATCCAACACCCAGGATTTGAACATTCTCCCAGCTACTTCCAAAAAGCTAAAACCTGTCACTGGGGAGCTGAAAGGGTCAGGGTCCTGGGTGAGGCAGTCCTACTGTGTATTTATTCACTGGCCCCTTCGTGTGCAGAGGCTGCGCTGGACCCCGGGGAGAGCCTGCCTTGCCGAAGGAGACACACACGCATCTCTGCCTGTAACACGAGGGGCAAACACGAAACAGGCTCAGCTCCCAGACAGGCTCACAGGAATATGTGGTGCAACAAGGGGGTTGAGAGAGTTGACTGGGCTGACCAGAGCTGGGTGCAGTTAAGCTCGGAAGATTTTCTGGAGGAGGCGAATCTGGAGCAGATTGTCCCCCTGAGGAGGCAGGGCCTGGGAAGTGAAGGGGCTGGGGAGAGAATCCCTTGGGAGCTGTGGCCCGGGGCTCTGTCTCTTACTCTGTGAGCTTTATCTATCTCCTCCTATATTTTCTCCTTCCTCTTCCTCTGATTGCCCAGCAGGGTGTCGGCCCCAGCCTTTCGAGCTTGGCGGGTTCAGGGACACCCCCATCCTGACACCCCCCCCCCCAGTCACATCATCCTCACCTCCCCTTTGGCCCTTCCAGGTCCCGGGCCTCCTCTGAGAGTGAGTTGGATGATGAAAGCCCCTGTGGTGGTGATGGGGACCCAGGCCTGTTCCCCTTCCCTCTGCCCCGGGGTGGGGCCCAGGCCTCCAGCGAGGAGAGTGAGGAGGAGGGGACATCTGACGACCTCCACCTCCCCCCTGACTGCCATTATGCAACCCGGCCCCCGCGGCCACAGGCGGTAAGGACCTGGGACAGGGGCCTGGGGTGGTGGGTGGCCCAGTCCTCCTGGCCCACAGTGTGGAGAAGAGGTCAGATCTTGTGTTCAGATGCCTCCCTATACCTCAAGCACTGCCAACCATGTCCCTTCCTTCTGCCTCCAGTTCTGCACCTTTGGGAGCCGCCTGGTGAGCCCAGGATGCTATGTGTTTAGCCGCCGGCTGGACCGGTTCTGCTCTGCACTCAGCTCCATGCTGGAACGGCACCTCAGCTCACACATGTGGAAGTGAGTCTCTTGGGCCCGGAACTTTCCTTCCTAAGCCGAGCATACACAAACACAGACTTCAGAACCCCTTGTCCTTCACACGTGCCCATTGGTGTCCACTGGCCGTTTGCCGGGAATACCCCAGCTAGGGAGTGACATGAAGTAGAGAAGGGGACCTAAGAGCCTGGAGCGGGCCAGGAATGGATAACCTGGGGATGAGCCTCGAGTCTTTCTCTTACCACTTCTAGTACATTTAGAGTAACTTGGGGTAGGGAATGCCCAAACCGAGACTTAAAATGAGGTCATCTATATGCTAGTTCATATATACAGTATGAGTTCCTTCTTTCCTCTTCCTGTGCCTTCTGCCTAACTCTCACTTCCACTGTCTCCCAGCAGATGGCAGCAACTCTGGGGCTCTCGGCCATTTCTAGGCAGGGCAGGGCAGGGAAACCTGTGTGTTGGGGACGTCCTCTTGTTTGCTTGTCAGTCACTGTGGGACTCTCTTTTTGCTGCAGGAAGATCCCACCAGCGGCTGAACCTTCATCCCACCTTGTCAGCTCCGCCTTATCTGCCCCACTGAGCCCATCCTCTATGGGCAGCTGCCCCCGACTTCCAGGCCCACCCCCTAGGCCTGCCTGCCCGGCCTCCACACCCCCTAACAAGGACAGCCTTGTTCCCAGCTACCCTGCAGGCTCCCCCAGTGTGGCAGCCGCCTGCAGTCAGGCGGAGTGCATGGGCGGCAGCCAGGCTATCACCTCACCACTGCCTGCCAACACACCATCCCCATCCTTCAGCAAGCTGCCACCTTCCAAGGCCAGCAAGTCATCCAAAGGCAAGGACGGGGTGGAGATGGAGGCTCCTTCTCGAAAGCGGAAGTTGTCCCCTGGCCCTACCACTTTCAAACGGACCTGCATCCTTGAACCCGCTGGAAAAGGCAAACCATCTGGCTGCCGGGGGCTCTCAGCCAAGACTAAAACAGCCCTAGCCATGGGCCTTAATGGGACAGTGGGACCGAGAATGAAGCGGGCAGGGCCCCTGGACTGTCGGGGTTCCCTTCATCCGCCCTCCACACCTGTCAAGGCTTCTCAGCTGGAGAACCGGGGAGCCGCTGGACACCCGGCCAAGGCCCTGCCAACCAGCTGCCTCTCTGAGGAGGAAGCAGCCAAGAAGCGGAAAAACCTGGCCACTTACTGCCGGCCAGTGAAGGCCAAGCACTGTCAGGCCGGTGCCCCTGCCGACACGGCCTGCTCTGTGCGCCGCAAGAAGCCAGGCCCGGCTCTGGCCTTTGAGGAGAAGTGCTCTACACTGAAGGTACCAGCCCGGCTCCCCAAAGAGTGTGGGCAGAGAGGATCAGGAACCTGAGTGTAGGGAACAGTGGGTACCTGACCTGGAGAGGTGTTAATCAGGTGATCATGCAGGGAAGAGAAGAAAAGAAATTGAAATTCTTGGGTCAGCACTTCAGAGAGAAGTCATCGAGTGAGGGAGCATCCCCTCTGCACAGCCTGTCTGTCCCTTGAGTTCAGGGCACGTTGCTCTGTCTGCCCTTGCTTTTTCTTTAATCAAAGGGGGCTACTTTCTGAATTGCTATGGCTTTGCTCCAGGATCTAAGGCTGCCTCTACCCCTTGAAGGAAAGGGAGTCTGGGTCCCTAAACTAAGGCTGAGGAACTGGGGAGGTGGGCTGGTCTTGTTCCTTGGTTCTTCCTCTTACAACAGGACACTGAAAGGCAGGTACACAATGGAAGAGACGTGGGTGCCAACCTTGCGCCTTGCTCACCTCTATGTTCTCTGGTGATAGTTGATTCTCCAGGGCTTCTGGTAAAGCCTGCAGCTAGGTGTATCTGCCTTTCTAATGGAAGCCCTGGAGTAGCCAGCTTTGGACTAGCTATATGATGTCTGTCAGGAAGGACTTACGAGAGACAGGATGGGGAAGTGGTATTCTCCTGGTTTAGGCCGGGCTTTACCAACTCCTTTGGTATAGTCCGGGACAGTCTGGCAGTTGTTGAGAGTCTGGCCGTGTGTATGTGTGTGTGTTTGCATGCGTGTGTACAAGCATGCTCATGTGTTCTACAGCTTCACTACCCGGGCTACCCCTGTTTGAGCTGGCGTTCATCTTCTCCTTGCTCAGTTTTGCACACCAGGCCAGCAGAAGAAAACGATAGCTTAGCCCTTATAGTCTGCGTAGTTCCTGGGTAAGATGACTGCTAGGTCCCCATCCTGACCCTGTCTCTTGCCTCTTGTCTTCTTACAGTCAAAAGCCCATTAACGAGAAAGTGCCTGCCCACTGCAACGGAGCCGCCAGCACCTCTTCCCCTCCAGATCCGGGTCCCAGGCTGCTGCCGCTTTTTATAACTTTATATTATTTTTTTTAAGAAAAAAAAAACTCTTTAAAATACCTCAAGACTGTCTCCCTGTTCTGTTGCTGCTAAGAAAATATAAAAACAGAAACACAGAAAAGGAAGAAAACCAATGTAGCAAAATGAGTGTCCTTATTGTCCCCAACCCCACCCAAAAGGCTGAGATGATAGGTAGTCAGACTCTAGCTCCCAGCCAAAAAAAATATATATTTTTGGGGTTCCTATCACTGGGAAGTCTGGGGTTCCTATCACTGGGAAGTCTTCAGGTAGGATGATGAGGAATGTATGTCTCCGAATGACCAAGGTTCCGAAAATCGTGACTCTATAGAGACTGCTCCGGTCTCCTTGGAAAGGGAGGTGTGGCGGAGAGGGGAGCCACACTTCCGGCTCTCCACTTCAGGGTCTGTGCCCTAAGAGTCTGTGGGAGGTCCTCCTAACCTTGTTCTTCCAGCAACTCCACCTCCATCCTGCTCCATATTATTGCTTGTTTCTCTGGTCGTTCCCGCCCTTCCTATCTTTTACTAGTATCCTGTTTTCAGCCACACGGAGCTTCGGATGAGTTGGAAACTTCTCAGGAATAATGCTAGAGGGCAGGGGATGCAGCACCTTCCTGGCAAGTGCGAGGCCCTGAGTTCTATTCCCAGGACTTAAAAAAAAAAAATAGGATTAATGCTCGAGTCTATTTAGTCTCCTCTTGGCCGGTGGTTTGCCCTTAAGGACAGGGCAGGGCTCCTTGGGCCAGACCACACCTGTGTGTAGGCAGAAAAAGAGAGGTCACTTGCAAAACAGAGTGTGGGAGGCCCTGGTTCCTCAGGATCACCTTGCTCCTGGGGGCCTGAACAGCTGCTGGGGAGGCAGCAAGGCTGGGCGTGCCCTAGGTCTTCCGCAGATCTCAGCTGGGGACAACTCCAGGTGGAGGATGAAAGTAGCACCTCTCTCCTCACCCTCAAGCCTGAATTCACCAGGTTTTAAGCCAGAACAGATGGCAGGAGAGAGCAGCTAAGGAAATCCCAGTACTTAGGAAGGCGGCTAAAAACGTTTCACGCTCAGGTCAGCATATCAAGTGCGTGATTTGAGGATTCACTGAAATCAGTTGCCACAGATGTAATATCCATTGGCTGCTTAACGTACAGCGCTTATAGGCACAAAGATACAAATGTACTGGGCTGGTAGTCGTCAGGTCCAGTCTCCTGGGAGCGGCCCCAGAGGCTCGCCCCCATCCCCCAGGGGGCGCTGTGAGCGCCTCCGCCGCATTGCTGGTGGCATCCCCGGGGAGGAGCCTCTCCTGCAGCCGCCGCAGCCTCTGCCATAGCAAACCCGGAAGACGCCTCCGGCAGCTGGACTGTGCGGGCTGGTTCTGCACGGCCATGCAGCCCCTGGAGGTAGGTCTGGTTCCCGTTCAAGCGAGGGAGCCTAGACTGACCCGCTGGCTGCGGAGAGGCAGTGGGATCTTGGCGCACCTGGTAGCTTTGGGCTTCACCATCTTTCTGATTGCGCTGTCCCGGCCAGGAACCAGTGAGTGTGCGGGGCGGGGCATGGAAGGGGGCGGAGCCAAGGTGCTTGAGGGGCAGCTCTCGGAGCGGTGGAGGGGGGCGGGACCCGGAAGAGTTGGGGGTCGGGCCGCGGACAGGTTGTTAGGGCCTGGTGGGCGGGGCCCGGGGAGTCCAGATAGAGTGGGGCTGTGGGTGCTGGGGGTGGGGGAAGGCAGAGGATTGAACAGATCCAACTGACACTTCCTTGTAAGCAGGGCTCCTGAAGGATACAAGGAGAGGGAGGGAGGTCTACTGTAGCCCTGGGCTGACAGCCGAGAGGGGCCAGATGGGGACCCCGGCCACGCTGGCCTGTATTTGCTGGGAGCCCTTTGTGGTTGTTCACCCTAAGGTCCCGTGCCACTCCACTTTGCCCTGAGTTCCTGAGTAGGTTTGGGAATGGAATGCTGACCTTTCCACTGTGGCCAGAATCTTTGGGCGCCACCTAGCCACGGGGTGTCGGGGGAGGGGCCCAGAAACAGTGGTGCTCAGCCATCAGCCTAGTCTCTTTGATTCTTAGGTCTTTTCTCCTGGCATCCAGTATTCATGGCCTTGGCGGTGAGTTTGAGCTTCTATCTGCAACTGATTTGGATATGCTTAGCACCACCCGTGGGGAAGCAGCCAACTTTCAGAAGGCTCAGCCTAAGATTCAGAGACGGGGAGCAGGCAGGGCTTCCTCTCTCCCCATAGCCTATGGGACTGGGAAGCATGCAGGGCTGGGCCCTGGGTGAAGTGTCAGGTGTTTAAGAAGATGAGAGGGCATGGGAGAGATTACGTCACTGGGGCCTGAAAAGAGGAAGTGGAAGGCATATTATCGTCATCACTGTCCTTGCCCCCAAAGTTCAGGAAAAACTTTAACATTTGTTGTTTGGCTGGCCCAGAAATGGGAAGGCAAATGTCAGCTGGAATGATGAGACTTACATTCAAGTACCAGTTCCCAGTTACTCGAGTGCTGACCTATGAAGCAGGAGGTCTTGGCGGAAGTCCGTTAGCCTCCACCCTTTGTCCTCCGTTTGGATATGTGAGGTCACCTCCTTTTCCCTCAAGCCTCTAAACCAGATCTACGGCTCACTGGCCCTCTTCTGTATTCACAGTTCTGCCTCTGCATGGCTGAGGCCATCCTAATCTTCTCGCCTGAGCACTCCCCATTCCTCTTCTGCTCCCGAAAGGCCTGGATTCGGCTCCACTGGGCAGGGCAGACCCTGACCATCCTCTGTGCTGCCCTAGGCCTGGGCTTCATCATCTCCAGCAAGATCCGCAGTGAGCTGCCGCATCTGGCATCCTGGCACAGCTGGCTAGGAATTCTGACGCTGCTGGCCACTGGTGTCCAGGCACTGTGTGGGCTCTGCCTCCTCTTCCCCCGGGCAGCCAGGGTCTCAAGGGTGGCTCGCCTGAAGCTCTACCATCTGACATGTGGACTGGTGGTCTACCTGATGGCGACAGTAACAGTGCTCCTGGGAATGTACTCCGTGTGGTTCCAGGCCCAGATCAAAGGTGCAGCCTGGTACCTGTGCCTGGCACTGCCCCTCTACCCAGCCCTGGTGATCATGCACCAGATTTCCAGATCCTACTTGCCAAGGAAGAAAATGGAAATGTGAGTGCCTCCGAACAGGATTCAGGAGGGATACTTGCCTTGAACTTCAGTGGCTCCTTGGTGAACTTCAAGGGACCTACTTTAGAAGTTGTTGGATTTTTGTAATTTATAATTGGGCCAGGGGCTGCAGAAATCCAAGCATATATTATTGAGCGATGATTCAGTAGGCAAAAATGGGGAAGTGTACTGGGTACAAGTGGAAGGTGATAGAGAACTTCAGCCTGAAGCCTCCACTCTTGATGAGAGACAGAAGTATTGGGTGGTGGTGGTGGTGGTGGTGGTGGTGGTTTCCTGTTTGCCTGATGAAGAGTTGGGTTTGTGCAAGTTATGAATGAAAGACACAGATACTTGAGTCCCTTTTGAGAAAGCAATGGGATGTAGTGGAGAAAACCAGTGGGTCTTGCTTGTGGTCCTCTTAGGTTATTGTACAACCTTAGGTAAATTCTGCATCGCAGGACCTCAGTTTCTTCATCGGTGAAGCAAATGTTTCTAAACCATCTCTAGGTCCCTTTCATCTCTAATATTTGGTGTATTTCACCAAAGCTGATGTCACTGAACCCTCTCCCAGCTCACTCCGTCCTATGTGGACCACTTGGCAGCCTCAGGATATAACTTTCATATTCATTCTCCTTTTACCCCCTTGAGAAAGACGTCTGCCCTTGTAGCCCTTCAGAAAGCTTGTTGATTTGGCTCCTGGACCAGGGCACAAAGGATCTGGCACTGTTGAAAAAAGAGGCCCAGGGGAATGTCTCCTGGACTCTAAGACAGTAAAGGCACTAAAGTCACTTTAAAATTTGTGAAGGTGTGAAGGGCATTGGCTTAGCCAGTGCTTAGCTTAGTTTAAATTATTAGCTTCTTATAGGATCCTTAGCTCAGCTAAGAATCTCCTTTAGCCCACCGCAGGACCTGGCCTGCATAACCTGGGCGTGCTCCTTCCCCGACATCCATTCTCAGGGCAAAGTAGTCTTGGGCATCTCATGTTTTGCTCTTCTTAGGGCTCAGGGTCTCACCTTAGCACATAGCTTCATGGAGCTATTCTGATGCTTTTAGAATGAAATAAGGATCAAGGAAGTGGGTAGGGTTCTTCTGATCCAGGGAGAACAAAATCTCCTTGGTTCCCTTTCTGTCCCTTTCATCTAAGCTTTCCTTAGTTGTCATCTGTCAGCTCTTCGACCTAAGAGATGGCTTGGTTTGGCCAGCTTGCAAATGAGGGCTGGGCTCTCTTCCCTGCAGAAAACTTTCCTTGTTGTAACTGAAAGTAGTTCCCCAGACTGCCTTCAGTGGTAAGGGCTGGATGTCAGATTGGTAAGCTGTGGTCTAGCTCATTCAGGGCAGTGAGAGCTCCATAGATCAAGGAAGGATTGGAGACAACTGGCTTTCTGTAGAGATACAACCCACTGGAAACTGGGAGGCCTGGGATTGGGGGCTAGCACTCCATTTCCTGTGAGCCGGGAGAGGCCTTCTTTGATGTCAGTATCTTCAGTGTCCCAGGCCTTCTGAAGCTTCAGGGCTTCCTCTCCAGGTGACTCAGAAGCAAGCAGGTTGGTGTGATTCAGTAGCATAGGAATGAGGACTGTGAGGGCGGAAGGATTCACAGCGGACCTCACTGTATTTCTCTTGGGTGAGATGGCATCTTCCAGGAGCTCTCTAGATACTGAGCATCTATAGGATGTGCAGAGGGTGATTGTCCTCTTTCCTCCCCATACTACTCAACATGATATAAAGTTAGAACCAGTAGTTACTGGGTTGCATGGAGGAGATGCTCACCTAGGGTCACTTTGATCTAGAGATTCCATTTCTCCCCTAATCATAGCCAGTGCTGGGGCTCTACACAGGGCGAGAGGGCCTGGTAAGGTTCATCAGCCTGCTCTGAGCAGCAGGCAATGCCGGAAAGCCTGAGCCTGCCTGAGGTGTTGCCTCCTCCCAGGTGGTGCGGGGGTTGGTGGGCGGGCGGGCAGGCAGGCGTGCTGACAGCCGGCAGTTTGCGTGGGCTGTGCCATCTGATGTCTATTCCCAGCCCTGGGAGGAAGGGTAATCATTTATATTCTGCAGGAGGAAGGGACCCATCTGTCGCCTCTCTGACCAGTGGGCCTGGAGGGCAGGGGCACAGGGCAGAGACCAGGGCTTAGGTGGTCTGCTTAGCCCAGTCTGACTTCAGTATAGGGAATAGGTCACCAGCAGGAGCCTCTTTTTCTGCTAGGCCAGATTGTGGGGGAACTTCCCTCCCCTCCCATCTTTCCATTTCTCCCTCCATCACCACCTGTCCTCACATCCTGGGGCAGCAGCTGGACAACCATTAGACCTCAGTGCCAGGGCACTCTTCCTCCAGCTGGGCTCTCGGTGGCTGCCCACAACATATGCCTCCCGGCTGTGTGCTCCATCCTCCTCTCCCCCTCCCCCTCTGCTCTGTATGGCCTAATGTCTGGGTACTGGCTGGGCTCCTCACCCAGGCAGAAGACTTCCTTCCTTCTCAAGGGAGAAGCAAAATGGCTACCCTTTTGCCCTTCTTCTCTGACAAGGGAAAGCTGCTTTAAAAAAAAAAAGAAAAAGAAAAAAAAAAAACCAGGGTGCTCAGATTTTTAAAAAAAAGCCTGTCATTTGCACAGATTTCCATATCAGGCTCCGTAAGTCCTGATTCCACATTTGATTGTGTTCCAAGTTTGATTATATTCACACTCAACCTTGAGGACATTAGCAACATAGATGGCTTTGTATCCAAATCCAAACGGTGATGGGATTGCTGTTCTGGGTTTGGGTACCCCTCACAAGCCCCTTTCTTACCCCTTCCTTGGAGCCCTGTCAGGGCTGGGGCTGGTGTTGAACGGCAGGAGCTCTGTGTCGGAGGAAGACGTCCAGCCTCACCTCCTTGGCTGTCAGCTGCATTTGAGATAGGCTGTTGTCATTGCCAGCCTGTATCTCCTCTTCCACCGCCCACAGCAGACTGCCCTTCCCCACTCCCCAGTGCTGGCCTGTCCCTTCTTTCTCACTTTTCGCATCCTGGCACCCCCATGCATGGCTGCTGTGGGTCTTGTTTTTCCAGCCTCACTGTGGGAGATCCAGGCATCCTCCCTGAGCCAGCCAGCTGCTGTGCCAAGGCCTGTTCAGAGTTAATAATAATCATTAGCTGAATGGTGCTGGGGCCTTTCAGCTCCAGATCTCAAAGCACTTGCAGGCTGAGTCAGCCAGCCCTCACTTTCCCCCTCTCCCTGGGCTGCAGAGTGTGACACAACGGGGAGGCACTGTAGGAGAGGCGGGAGTCAGGTGTCTTGTGGCCTAGCCATCCTTTGAGGCTTTTTCTGGGAGCAAGTACTGAGTCCCCTTCACAGACTAGTAAGGCCTGAGCCCCTGCAGAGGTTGAGAGATGTAGGGAATACAGTATGTTCACTTGAGACTGGTGGTGGCAGTGGCGGCTGATGACCTGGAACCTCTAGTACTCCGGACTTTCCTTCTGTTTACCTACTGTGGCCTCCAGGGGGCACCCTGGGTCCCGATGCCCCAACCTCAGCTTTCCCAGTGCCTCTCTGCAAGCTCAGGGAGCAGGGAGGCTTCTGGTTTAGTGTCCCTAATGCCCCTGTGTCTGGTTGGCATAAATAGCCTGTGTGTCATGACATACAAGACACACTAGCCTGAAAGTTGGGAAAACTGCTGTATCAGTTTACTCAGTCCCCACCCCTGGTGTGCCCACAGGCAAACCACTTGTTACTTGACCTACCTCACAAGGATGTTCAGAGTTAGATGACAGGACACATGTTAGCAGGAGTCAGTTCAAAGCATTAAACATATGGAAACAGCTGGTATTACTGTGTTCTTGTCCTTTTCTCTCTCACTGAACCTGGCTCTGAGCTTTGTGTTTCCTAGGGAGGCAGTAGACACTTAGGGATAATGATGCTTGCGGGACCCAAGAGACACATTTCTTACTTCAAGATGCAAGGTCAGTTCTTAGGCATTCCTGCCAGAAATGCCACCAAGGCCATGACCAGTGAGGTTTGCCCTAACTGCTGCCTACCTAGTGTTTTCAAGTCATGGGGCTAATTACTAATGATGGAGTCAGAACAGTGCCCTCCAGGTCTAGCCAGAGTTGATCTTAGACTGGAGCTGCTGGTACAGGTCTCGCTAAATATCCTCGCCCTAATTTTGTCCTTCTTAGGGAAGCGGGGTACATAAGTCAGGAAGTGAGGAGCAATAATAGAAAACACCATATTGTCATCCTCACCCTCTGGTTTTCCTCCGTAGCCTCATGCCTTCACGCCAAGCTCTGGCGAGGCAAAACTGAAGGACATGGCTTCTGGCTTCCAGAGGTGCACAGCTTGGTTTCCCTTCCTTGTGTCAGGTTCTTCGAGTAGGATCACAGTCTCCTCTTCCTTCTCCAAATGCTTTATTGAAATTTACACACACACACACACACACACTCTCGCATGCCGTGAAGGTCTGTTTAAATTTGAAATTAGAGGAAGGAGGATACTTTCCATTCCAACTTCTGAGAACAGGCAGCAGTCTGCCTGGAATGAATGCAGAGAAGCAGGAGCTACAGCAGCATAGTGGTTTGAATATTTGTTTTTCATCTTGTGTTTTTTTTTTTCCTGTCCTGGGATCCAGGAATTAAATATTGATCAGGAATTGTGCACATCATCTCAGCCATTCTCACAGCCAGGGGCACAAAGGAGGCATACGCTGAAAGGTGGGAGAATAGTGCCCTAGATATGTCCTGGAAGGTGGGTGGCAGTAGTCTCAGTACTGGGCTGCACCTAATGCAGACAAAATTACTTCCGGTGAATACTACTTTCCCTCCTAGCCCACCCTGAAGGCTTGGCTTGTCACCAAGGCAGTCTCTGAGTAACAGTTTTTGTTTTGTCTTTTTGAGACAGGGTCTCGCTATGCAGTTCAGGCTGGCCTTGAGCTCACTTTGTAGCCCAGGCTGGCCTCGAACTCACAGCAGTCCTCCTGCCTCAGCCTCCTGAGTGCTGGGCTTACAGATGTGTGCCACCACACCCAGCTAACAGTCCACTTTTAATCCATCTGCTATTGTCAGAATTTCCCAGATGAGTTTTTAACCTCTTTTGGAAGCAGACTAAGGAAACATTTCAAGCTGTTCTGTGGTATCTGAGGAGTCAACTCTGTCTTAGTGAGTATACCTGAGTAGCCTGTAGCACTGCTATCTTGAAAGTATATTCCTAGTTACCTCACAACCTAAGTATGCCTACAGCCTAAATTCTGCTTAGTCCCACATCAAAAGCAAATTATGACCAGCCAAGGGAGAAGTGGGAGGTGAGAGAAAAGCGGCAGCAAGTAGCATCCAACTCTAGTCTCTCAACCTGTGTGGGCACCATGCACATACACATACACATGCACACATCCCCAGCTTGGGGGCCATGACTCACTTTATGTATGCCAGTGCCAAAGGGCACCCAGAGGTCCCACTGCAGGGCTGCATGTCCTGGCTCACTGAAGGATGGTTCTCAGGCCGTTCTTCTGCGCCCTCTTTGCTTGGGGGGACAATAACTCGGCTGACTGGGAAGGCCTCCGGATGTATCTTAAGTATCTTCACCATTTGATATTTTCCACTTGTCAGTATATATACCTGATGAAAAGCTTGATTGACAGCTGCTTTGGCCTTCCTCTCACAAGCCCTAGGAGCAGCAGCATCCATGATAGAAGTACTATGGCCTTCCCAGAAAAGCCAACTGTCCTACTGAAGGAGCCTGAGCCTTTCCTGCTCTGTGGGTGGGGAAAGTGACATGTTTGTACTACAATATAAGCGTACAATACAGAAAGGAGAGGAATTGAGAGACCAGGTGAAAGAAACGGGCTAGGCCATGCTCTGAGCCCTCATTTTCTGTTCTAAAAGGCAATTGTCACATTAGCTTCCTCCACCCCCTGAAGTGCTACTTAAGCGGGGGAATGAAAGTGCTGCAAGCCATGACATACACAATCGCACATCTTGGCCAAGATCTAGGAACTTCTTGTGACTTTGGGGTGGGGAGGGTAGAAGAGTTGAAGCAATATAGCTATGGACTTCCTTGGGATAATGGAGAAAAAAGTATCAAAATTTAGGCTTAAGACAGGCCTGGTGGCACAGGCCTATAATGCAGAACTCCGGGAGGATGAATTAGGAGGCTTGCAAGTTCAACCCCAGCCTAGGCAATTTCGCAACTCAGGGAGACCTTGTATCCAAAAATAAAAATAATCAATGGGATGGAGATGTAGATCAGTGTGAAAGTCCTAAGTTCAACTCACAATACTGCAAAGAACAAAATAAGACAAAACCAACCCTCGTAGGCTCAGAGACGGGGCATGGCAAAGGCCAAGACAAAGGAGAGAATAGTCTTTCTCAGTCTGTTCTCTTTACCAGTCTCTGGCCATGCCACCTGAATGCGCCTGACCTTGTCTGTTCTTTTTACCAGCTTCATCCTCTAGGCCAAACTGTCAGCCATAGCAAAAAGTTTGCAAAGACAAAAAACTGTAAACATGGACCATGGGAGTGCTCGTACATGAAAATCCATCATTATACTACTGATTACCAAGGTTGATCTGTCTGATGTGACTGCTTGTAAGGTCTCTATCCCTCACCAGCTCAACTGTTCCTTGTGAAGTGAAAAAGATTTATCTTCCAGTCAGTGTGGTAGTGCATGCCTATCATACCATCTGCTCGGGAGGATGAGGCTAGAGGATTGCAAGTTCGAAGCCAGCATGGGCAACTTAGTGAGATCCCGTACCAAAATTTTAAAATGATATAAAAAGGGCTGGGGATGTAGGTAGTGCTTGCTCTAACATGTGAGACTGGATTTAATCTCCAGGACCACACACACATGCAAGCCTACATGCATACACACAGACTGGGATCTGCCTTCTGGCTGAAATTTTAGGGGGCTGGGGATTTAGCTCAGCGGCAAAGTGCCTGCCTGGCAAGCACAAGGTCGTGAGTTCGGTTCCCGGTACCGGAGAAAAACCAAAAAAAAAAAAAAAAAAGAAATTTTATAAATGTAAGAAATCAGGTAGTTATAATTTCTTTTTTTTCTCTTATAACATGTTCTCTGTCCCTTTGGGACCTACCATGACAATCCCCTTCTGGAAGTACCAAGAGAGTAGCCAAAGAATTTGGCTGATCAGAGTTTAGAATCCATTCCAGTTTCTGGTAGGCTATCTCTATACCCAAAAACTGAAGATTACATTTTCTCATTGCCCACAATGCCTAGAACACACTAAATTATCAATCCATATTAATTTGTGCATTAAATGAATATACTTTTAGCCTTAAGATGGCTACCATTTGCAACATGAAGATATACTGGCAATAAAGTTACACGTGAGTGAACGATTTCCCACTTTTTTAAAACCCATTCCAACCACTTCCCCATAGCACCACTAGTAAGATCAGGAGTCAGCCCCCCACCAGCAGACCCAGGAAACCTTTGTTATCTTTGAGCCTTAGCCCAGGTCATGGGATTTTTAAACTCTTGATGGCTAAAGCCTCAGTAATATTTGAGAATCTGTCTCAGAGACTGGGAAACTATGGCCCAATAGTCAAACCAGCCCACTGCCTG